TTGTGGCTATTCATTCTTCCAAGGAAATAGAAAAATTGACATTTGTTTTGATTCCATTAACGTTGGTGTCGCTTCCTTGATATATGGTTTATATCGATTGAATGATTGGTCACTTGAACTTCCTAATCTCCATATCAATACTACTATTGGGCATAAACATCAAAGGCCCAATGATAATTCCTCTATGTTATGGCATCGTCATTTGGGTCATATCTCTAGAGAGAGATTGGAGCGCATGACCAAGTAAGGTGTCTTACAAGACCTTGATTTCTCAGATTTTGAGACTTGTGTTGACTGTATAAAGGGAAAATTCCCTGCTAGAGCTAGAGCCAAAGGGGCAAAGAGGTCTGAAAACACTTTAGACCTAATCCATACTGATATTTATGGACCTATCACACCTCCGACTATGGGTGGTTTTAGATATTTTGTCACCTTCACAGATGATTACTCTCATCATGGATGGATTGAACTCTTATGTGAAAAGGGCGAGTCCCTTAATGCATTCAAGACCTTTAAAGCAGCAGTCGAATTGAAATCTGGCAAGTTGATCAAGTGTGTGAGATCTGATAGAGGAGGAGAATTTTATGGGAGATATACTGAGACTGGCAGGAACCCTGGGCCATTTGCTTTGTACCTTCAAGAGTGTGGCATTGAAGCTCAATATACAATGCCTAGTACCTCGCAGCAAAATGGGGTTGCAGAAAGGCAAAATCGTACTCTCATGGATATGGTTAGAAGCATGATTAGTCACTCTTCACTGTCAGAATTCTTGTGGGGTGATGCACTTAAAACTACTGTTTATATTTTGAATCAAGTTCCAAGCAAGTTAGTTCCAAAGACTCCATATGAGTTGTATTTTGAAAGGACTCCTGCGTTGAAGCATATGTGAGTTTGGGGTTGTAAAGCACAAGTAAAACTTTACAATCCACAACAGATGAAGCTTGATGCTAAAACTGTTGATGGTTTCTTTATTGGCTATTGCATCGGATCTCATGGGTACAGATTCTATTGTCCAAATCACACTACTAGGGTAATTGAATCTGACCGAGCTTACTTCTTTAAAGATGCCTTAGTCAGTAGGAGCTCTGTGCCTAGGTATATTACCTTGCATGACGAAAGTAGCATTTTACCTATGCCTATCTTGGCAACTCCTTATGTTGATAGAAATAATGCCGTGGGTCAGAATGAAGCTCAAGATGAATCACCTTTAGAGAGTGATAGGGATATGGTTGTTGAACCAAGACGGTCCCAAAGGGTTCGTAGGTCTGCTATTCCAGATGATTACATGGTGTATCTGCAGGAATTTGATTCAGATGTTATTGATAGTTTAGACCCAATATCTTACCAAGAGGCTATTTCTAGCTCACATTCTTCTGAATGGTTGGAGGTTATGAGTAAAGAAATTGCCTCTATGTACCGTAATCACGTATGGGAGCTTGTAGAGCAACCAAAGGGTTTTAAACCAGTGGGTTGCAAGTGAGTCTTTAAGACAAAACGTAGAGCTAAAGGTAAAATTGATAGATATAAAGCCAGACTTGTAGCTAAGGGCTACAACTAGAAAGAAGGTATTGATTACACAGAAACCTTCTCTTCGGTATCTACCAAAGATGCTTTTAGATTGGTAATGGCTTTAGTTGCATAGCTTGATCTTGATCTTCACCAGATGGATGTCAAGACTGTGTTCTTGAATGGTGATTTGTATGAAGAAGTCTACATGACACAACCTGATGGTTTTGTTGAATCTGGTAAAGAACATCTAGTGTGCAGATTGAAGAGATCCATCTATGGGCTAAAACAGGCCTCTAAACAATGGTATCTAAAGTTTGATGAAGTTATCACCTCGCTCGGCTTTGTTGAGAATGTCTCAGATTAGTGTATCTATCAGAAGTTTGATGGGAACAATTTTGCCATTCTTGTTCTCTATGTTGATGATATCTTGTTAGCCAGCAATTCAATAAATTTCCTCAATGAGATAAAGCGCTTATTGTCTTGCCATTTTGACATAAAGGACATGGGTGAAGGCTCCTTTGTTCTTGGGATACAGATTCATTGTGATAGATCTCATGGTATTCTTGGTTTATCACAGGCCACTTATATTGAGCGGATACTTAAGAGATTCAGAATGGATTATTGTTTTCCTTCACCTGCTCCTGTACAGAAAAGTGAGCTGTTGTTAGAGTTACAGTGTCCCAAGGATGATAAGAAGAGGGCTGAAATGAGAAGATACCATACGATTTCGTTGTCGGCAGCCTTATGTATGTTCAAGTGTGTACTCGACCAAATATAGCCTTTGCCATTGGAGTGCTAGGTCGATACTTAAATGATCCAAGTCTGGATCATTAAAAGGCTGCTAAGAAAGTTATGAGGTATCTTCAAGGTATAAAGGATCATATGTTGACTTACAGAAGGTCAAATTCTCTTGAGGTTGTTGAGTATTCTGATTATGACTTTAAGGGATCAGATGATCTTGAGATTTTTGGCTTTTCAGATTCAGATTTTGCCTCTTGTCTGGATGATTGTAAATCCACGACTGGCTATATTTTCATATTGTCTAAAGGAGCTGTCTCTTGGAAGAGTGTGAAACAGACACTTACGACAGTTTCATCTATGGAAGCTGAGTATATTGCTTGCTTTGAGACTACACGTCACGCTATATGGCTGAGGAAGTTGATATCTGGCATGCACCTAGTTGAGTCAATATCACGTTCTCTAACCATTTATTGTGATAACAAATCTGCAGTATACTATGCTAACAATCACAAAAATTCCAGTTGTACAAAGCATTTTGATATCAAACTTATGTAACAAAATTGCTGAGTCTCAAACCCGTGTGGTACACATTCCTGGCACGCAGATGCTTGCAGATCCACTGATTAAGGGCTTACCTGTAGAAGTTTTTCAAAATCATGTAACTTGTATGGGTATTGTGAATTCCTTTGATACCCTAGTTTAGTGGGAGTTTGAGAACCTTTTATGTTGCAATTTCTCTTTAGGCTTTGTTTTCTTCTAAGAGTTATGTTTAATTCAGTTAGATGCGTCTATATCATTTGTATCCCTATAGGATTCAATGATTTTATTGTGGCACGCTATGCATGTCACTTGTTTCCCCATAGGAATCAGTGATTTATGTTGTTATCTTACTGTGCTGTGTTTGAAATAAAAAAAATTTCGTATTTTATTCAGATTATGAGATATCATATCACTTGTTTCCCTATAGGATTCAGTAATTTTATGGAGTTTTATTTTCTGAATTTGCTTGTGGCTTGTTTATATAACTTGCTTAATTAATGCAATTTAAGTGGGAGATTTTTGAATATTATTTATGAATTAGCATTAATTAATAAGCCCAATAGATTGGTCTTTATGATCTTGTGTGGACCGTAATAGGTGGACCACACAAGTGAGCCCAATGGGCAGAGGTCCAACCCACAACCTAGTAGCCGTCAGTTATTTCCTATCTCTTAACAGACTGAGTCAGAGATAATAGATAATATAATTATTTAATTATTTAATAAGGTGGTTACCGATCTAATCTATATAAGATGATTAGTCGGTAACCGCAAACACACGACTCATTTTCTTCTACTTCCATTATTTCTGAACTCTCTGAAGGCTCTAGGGACCTGAGGGTTGTGTACCTGCCTATACTCGAGGTAATCGAGATTTCTCTAACAGTCATGGATTCTTCAGGTATGTATGAATTACTTTATTATATCATATTAATATTATACATATGAATTGAGATATTAGATTCAACATCTTGATGATATGCTGCTTAATAATGCTTTTAAGTTTGGTGCTTAGGTAGGAAGGGTTATTCTATTGAGAACCCTAGGCTAAATGGTAATATTTCTAGCTCTTTTATTCAAGCTAGAGTGGATGTTGATATTATAGAGCCTCTGTGTTCGGATTTTAGAATAAGAAAATGCAATGGTTTGAATTCATGGGTTTCTATTAAGTATGAGCATTTGAAACATTATGGTTTCACCTATGGAAGACTTGGGCATGATAAATGTTCTTGTGATCAAGCTACTGCGATTCTAGTGTGAAATAAGTTAAGGGCCTCTAGTTTGAAAGTAGTGACGGAGGTGGTTAATGGCTGAGAATTTCTACCAACATTTTTAGAATACTAAGCCAGTATCTAGCTCTAATGATTCTTTACCCATGAAGGATGTGGTGATGGGGAAGGAACCACGTAGTGTTGAGGGTAAGTGGAGGGAGATGGAGCTGGATGAATTCTCAAAAGGGAAGGGTTGTGAGCTAAATGGGTGTAATTCTATGGAGAAAATTTTTAGTGGTAGTTGCGAGCCTGTGAAGAATACTGATGTTTTCAAGGAAGTGGTTAAGGAGTTAATAGGGGATGATTTTGCTAAAAGCTAGCATGATTGCACTATGAAGTCTTCAAATGTTAAATATGTAGTAGAATTACCCCTCGAAAATGATGAGTTGAGCTCATCCAATGTTGATAGGTTCCTTACAGAGTGGAAGAAGCTGAAGGAAGAGGCAGAATTGGGTAGAAAGCTTGGGAAAGTTAGTTTGAATAGAGGGGCTGATGATAAATGGCCGTCTCCTATCTCAAAGCAAAGGAAAATTGTGAAAGTTGAGCAAGATGTTGAGTTGAATGATCTAACGATTAGGTTGTGTTTCATGAGGGTAAGTTTTCTCCTAATGGTAAGAAATGTAAGAAGAAATGTTGCTGCTAGAACTCTTGATTTTGAGAAATTGGTGGATGTTCATATTTCTATAGTTGGTAAGGGAAGCAATTTACTGGATCCTATTGAGTGGGATAAAGTCATTTTTGCTGCTAATAATGTGAGGCATGGTGGCTAGCCCTTAACAGCCACGTCGGCACTATAATTGTATTCACTTGGAACTGTCAAGGTCTTAGGGTTACCTTGACAGTTCGACATTTAAAACACCAAATAAATAAACACAAGCTCTTGCTTGTTTTTCTTTTTGAGACTAGGATGAAGTTGGAAAAAATTCAAAAAAAATTAAAGATGGATGCTGGATTTTATGTCTTGCTGGTAGGTTTGTCTGGAGGTTTGGCTTTGTGGTGTTCAAGTAATGTAGTTTTGTAATTTATTAGCAGTTCAAAAAATCATATTCATGTTAAGCTGGATGGGACTATTGGAAATAGGTCAAGGATACGTTTGTTTATAGTCCCCTGGATAGAAGGGATAAGCTAGAATGGTGGCAAAAATTATTGTCTCTTTATCCTAGTTCTAATGTGCCTTGGGTCATTCTTAGGGATTTTAATGATTTGTTATATAATGCTAACAAATGTGGGGGCAGAGCTTTTGATGCTAATGAATTAAGGAATTTTTGCAATTTCATGAATACTCTGGATATGGTGGAGGTTGATTTGAAAGGTGGTCAGTTTACTCGGGTAAATAAACGTGAAGGGATGCTTTTAACATGGAAAAATTGGATAGAACAATTTGTAACTTGTGTTGGGCTTACCTTTACTCTAAGGCTCAAGATTTCATTTTAGAAACTATTGGCTCTGTCTATTTTCTCGTTCTGCTTGTCTTTGAATACTCTGCTTAGCAAACTCCTTAGAGTTTGATGATAATCTTAAGAGATTACAGAAAGTTCTTACTAGAAATTGATTGAGGAGTAATTGGGGCAATTTAAACACTATTACAGCTCTGGTTGGGGTCCTGAGGAAGCTACGTGGGCTAAAGAAATTACAAGCAAACTTGAACTGCTGGTGGATTTTAAGGAAAAGTATTGGGCATAAAGGTCTAGAGTGCAATGGTTGAAGTCGGGTGACCAAAATACTAAATTTTCTTTGACCTACCATATTACTAATCCTTATATGTGAGACATTTTCTTGATGTCATGCATATTGAGAACAATGTGTGAGACAGTTTAATTAGTACATTACTCCATATTTCAAGAAAGACCAAAGATGGCACCAAGGTAAGACTTGATATGATTTCTATAGGGATAAGGGAAAAGTTGGCTTTGCAAGAGAAAGGCAGCCATACATTTCTTTATACAACAGCTCATACACTGTCTAGAAAAGAAAAGAAGATTTTTTATGAGTCACTTGCTAGTATTTAAGTTCCAAAGGGGTACTCTTCAAATATTAAGGACCTTGTATCATTGAAGGATTTGAAGTTAAAGGGTTTAAAATCGCATGATTACCATGTGTTGATAGAAAATTTTATTCCAGTGGCTATACGTTTTATTTTACTGGACACGGTTTGAGCCACGATCACAAAATTGTGTTTCTTCTTCAAGTTTATATGTAGTAAAGTGATTGACCCAATAAAATTGCTAAGATTGCAAAGTTGAATTGTGTTAATCTTGTGTGAACTTGAAATGTACTTTTCACCTGCATTCTTCAACATAATGGTGCACCTAACTATTCATTTGGTTAGAGAAATACAAATGTGTGGCCCAATTTTCTTGAGATGGAATAATAAAACCTTATAAGTGGTCGTAATTTACATAGAAAAGTATGTAATATATATGTTCTATCACACTATGAATGGGAGTGATTGGTTTTAAATACTGATCGTACATTTAGCAAGGACAGTAGTAAGGCTGGTATTGGATTTATTGTTAGAAATTCTTGTGGGGAACATTTATGTATCAAGGGGGATTGGCCATTTTCTAGTTCGCCTTTCAAATATGAGGTTTTAGTTTTACTTTCTAGTTTGAAATGGTGCTGAGGCTAGACTTGATGAGGTTATGGTTTTTTCTGACTATCTTCCACTGATTCAGATGATTAAAGATGAAGTTGCTTGCCCTGAATATGAGTGTCTTATGTAGTATTAATCTTGGCAAAGCTCTCAGGTTATGTTGCTTTAAACAGATTCCAATAGATCGACTACAACGCAACTGCTGATTGGTGTGCCAAAGCTGCTTTTAGGGAGAAGTGCTCGAAACATTGGGTGTTGCAATCCCCTTCTCCCCTAGCTAAATTCCTAGCTAATGATTTATTAAGGGCTTGAAATCATTGTCCTTGAGCTTTGTTCCTCTGTTTTTGTTTTCTTTTTGCTGCTGTTTTTGTCTTGCTTTATTGTTAGTTGCTCACTAGTTTTTCCCTTTGTGCTGACTTTAGTTTGTGCCATTGGTTCTTAATGATAAGTGATTCCCCTTTTATCAAAAAAAAAAAAAAAACAAGAAGATAATATCATGAATTTATGCATCATCGCTTATGTTTTTGGAACAATTATTTGATGTGAGTTTAAGGAATGCCACTAATAAATTTATAATTGAACATAATATCAATTGTGAATGAACAATAATAGTTTTAATTGCAAATTTATCATCTATGGACCCTCTTCTATCTTTGAATATCATATTTGGATTCACCGCGTGGAGTAAGTCTTCGTATGGAATGCACGGCGGCATGTGGCAACATGAGATGCTTAAGATTAAAACTATGGTCGAAAATCTTAGTGCTGCTAGCAAATACATTTCTCTATTCCATCAACAAGCTTTCATTTTCTTTATTTAAAAGTTGTTTTACTTGAAAATTAAAAAAAAAAAAGGCTTTGTTAATTGTCGTCCATTTTTCTAGTCATCGACCACTGTGGGTGTGGAAGATGCTGATAGTTCTTTTGAGTTCTTGATGCTGCTATTTTGGGATAAAAAGATATTTATAGTAGGGAACCTACTAATTTAAATTTTAATAAAATCCACGAGTTTCATATATTTTTCTTAATTAGCGACTAAATTAATCTTTTCCAAAATAAACAAAACATCTCAAAACAACCTATTGTAGCCCTCATCTAAGTCAAAAGACTTTACTTTTTAAACACCTTTAAATATAGTTGTTTTGCTCTTTTGTCACACTAATTTGCTGTAATATTGTCTGGGATTTACTTTTGTTTGTGTATAAGTTAGAAAAGAGGATGACTTTGTGTACATGTTGAGAAAGAGTACGCTTTATGAAAATTCGACGGGGGGCTAGCAAAATTTTAGCACCATACATCATAACCACCTTTCTATAAATTTAAAAGCAATTTTTCTAAAATTCATAAGTCATTATACATAAATTCACGAATTGACTTTACGTGATTCACAAGTGATTTTTTTTTTTAATTCACGAGTAACTCTTTTAATTATGAATGAATACCATAGTCCTTCGATGATATTTCAATAATTTAAGGATTTAAATTATTATTAGTGCCTACATAAAGTCCACAACTATCATTTTTTTAATAATTTCTTAAAGAAAAGAGAAAAATATGGTCTTAAAATAGGAGGGGAGAACATAGAACGTTATTAATAACAAAATGTTATAGTTAAATGGTGAAATTAAATATTATATCTGAGATAATATTTTTTTTTGATTTTACATTGCATGTGTTTTTTTAAAAAATTAAGTTCAATGTAAGATTTTTTAATTGTAAATAAATATTAGTCTCAAAGATTATTGTAACAGCAAAGGAGAGTTAAATAATTAATATGAGGCTAGTGTCAACAGAGGAGAGTTAAAAAGAATTATGCAATAGCTAATATAAGACAAACAAATCTAGTTAAAGGTTAGCATTGAGCAGAGGAGAGACTAGTCAACAAGCAATGAACAGAAGAAGTAATAATTAGTGAAAAACTTTATGAATATTAGTCTCAATGATTATTGTAACAGAAACACCAAGAAAGTCTAAAGTTTTCCATGTCCATGTGGCTACATGACAAATTAGAAAAGATATAAAGAAAGTGGGCTAGAAGGATGCATGAGCACAAAGAGGCGTGGGGCATTATTTAATTTGTATCATTGCTTTCGAGTTGAATGGTTACAATCAAATAAAATTATAAGTTTAACAGTATCTAAAATTTTAAATTCATTTTTTTTGTGACGTTTCTTTTTAATTTTTAAAAATAATATAATATGGCCCTTATCACATCAACAAAAGTTAATAAACTGTTAGTTGATAACTAGAAAATGGTAGCAAAAGACCTCACAAATTATAAAAAGGACAAAAAAATTATAGTAAAGACTCAAAAATTAGAGAAAATAACTAATAAGAGATTTTTTTTATTATTTAATAGTCAACTAACAATTACAATTAATTTTTGTTAATAACAATAACTAAATTACATCATTTTTAAAAATTAAAAAGAAATATTATATCAAAAATAAGTGTAGGGTCTTGTACATTTCTTAATCTATAATTTAGAGGTGAATTTACTTTTTTACCTGTATGTTTTCTCAAATGAGAAAGGAACAAATGATATTTCCTCAAATAAATAAAGAAGGATAATGAGGGGGAGAAGAAAGAAAGTGTTCTTTTTCCATTTTTTTAATATTTTTTTAAAAATGATACGTGATCATTATTCTTTTCAAAATAATAATTCTTTGTGAAGATGCTAAATAATGACTAACATATATTGATTTAGTTTTAGTCAGACATATTTCCTTATCTTTAATAGCTCACACTTTTCATGGCTTATGAATAAAATATTAGAGAAAAAGAAATATTAGATACCCAAAATATGATGGTTGAAAAAAAGTCCGTAATATAAAAGAGAGGCGGAGATGAGTGACAAACAAATATGACCATATATAAACCTCATTATATTTAAGTACTACTGCTTTCGTTAAAAAAAAAATACAACATTTATAATTAAATTTCACTTAAAATAATTACTTCTCTTTAAATAAACACCATCTGTTTATATTTATTCCTGTTTAATAGAGTATTTCATTCTAAAATAAATATAAAGTAATTTATTTATGAGGAGAACTTTTTTGAAAAAAAAGGCAATGATTACACTTTAAAATCTTAAAAATGTCTTATATTTTTTAACATTCAACCCCTAAAAAAATGTCTTATATTTTTTAATGAAGTATATAATATGATGAGTAAACATATGCCTGTCACATAAATAATTAACCCTGTTTTTCATTAAAAAAAAATCCATAACTGAAAAATTCATGACCGTAGAAGACATACTAGGAAGTTTTAATTTGTTGCGTGGCCGGCTGTTCTCATTAAGCTTGTAACTACAAAGACAGGCATAGATGTGGACACTATCTCATATTTATTATCTAACTATTTAATCTCTTTTAATCCCTAATTGGCTTTGGTGCACAGTCCAAGAACAATCGGGGCACTTCTCAAAATTGTTGTCTCTAAGAGCGAAGTCAACACACAATCTATAATCACTACCAAAAAAAAAAAAAACTTTGGTGATGACCAAAAAAGTCACCACTAAAAGTGAACTTTTAATGGCGACAAATCAAAAGATCTTTGGTGGCAACAATGAACTGTTACCTGTAACATCATAAAATTTTAATCTGAGGAATTAGTTATTAATTAAAGGAGTAAATTAGTAATTTAATGGATTAATTAGATAATTAGGATTTTGGATGGCAATTGGAGGTTTTGACTTCTTAAGTTGTTAAATAGATAGAATCGAGTGGAA